CCTGGTAAAAAGCCAAGAGAGCTGCACGGGACACGCGCCGCGCGGACGGTGTTAGTAAAAACGTGAGTTTGCGAAACGGGCGGTGTAGCAAGGAATTACGACTTTCCCACGGCCCCGTACTCTGACCCCGTGCAGTTTTGGGCGGGGGGACCACGACACATCGACAGCTGGGGGGCTGATAGTCTCATACACCCTCAATGTGTTTGAGCGTACCATGTGTCTTTAAGGGAGCCAATCGTGCTCTATGTACATAGTTCACGCTGAGTAGCTCAATTGGTTACCAGCCTATTTGCCCCGCGAACTTCTTCAATTATGCACGATGGGAGAACTTGAACCATTATCTTTCGGAGTCTGACATTAGTTATGACCATCGCGAATATCTTTCCTGATAACCGAGACACTGGGTATACTGTGGAATAAGTGCAGCCTAAACTCGGTGTCAACTCACGTGTGCTTGCGTAGGGTCATGCGCCTAGGGTGCCGAGCAGGAGCTTTTTTGAGTGTTATGAGACTTTCTCCCAACCTAGTGTATGATGAAGATGAGGGAATTTTTTCTAAGTGTAACATCGTATGATGTCAATGAAGTAAGTAGCCGGCAGACACTTCTGTCATGGAAGGCATCATCAATGTCTACCTCTAGAGTAACAAAGCCTAAGGCTTGTGCTTATATTATCTTATAAGTTTGAGGTCATTGATTAGTTTCGCAAAGTAGTCTATTATTTTTCAATTTCAGTGATTTTTCTTTGTCCCCAGTTATCTGAGGCACCCTCTACGTGGCGTTCCTTTGACTTATGACAGTCGCAACGTCGTCAGTGCTCACGGCCGAGTTGTGGATGTGGGAAGACGTCTGGAATTGGACAGTACGAGGAGATTCCACCTATCAGGTAATGATGGAATGTGTCTTCGAAATAGCCATGTGAAGTGAAAATATTTCAGGATCAAGACTGGCACCACACATTCATCGGATATCATGGTATGGTAGCACTATCGCGAGCCAGTTGAGGACCAAGGTCTCTCTTTAATGCTCGTCCATTTCCAGTTTTGGAACAAATGGAAGATGACGTCACACGATTCAACATCAGCGTCCGAGGCGAACAAGCTCTACCTATATTCGAATGTCAAATATCCCAGGACCCCGCACCTCATCCGTCTCAGTTTGCGGGCGCGGGCCTCGACCACAATCGAAGCTGGGGGCTGATAGTCTCGTACACCCTCAATATGTTTGAGCGCACCATGTGTCTTTAAGGAACAAAGCTGTCTGCAGTGGCAAGAGAGGTGTGCATGGGAAAAAGGTTGCAGTGTAGCGGTGGTTTAGCTGGAAGGAGGCGCTCCTGGGTAACGGTACAGCAGTGACGACATAGCCTAGCATGGTACTTCTCTACCCGGTTGAAGTGCCCGGCAGAGAATAGTATCCGTAAAAGATCATGAGGAAGGCAGATTTCCGCCTGAAGCGTCAATCTAATAAAGAGTCTGTAACACAAGAATCAAGAAGTTCAGGCTGAGAGATGCGTACAGCACCCCGAAACTTGCACGCGAGATTAAAACTGTCGCGTAGTGAGCGCACACAATCGGGCGTAGTGGAGGAGGCTCCGGGGTGGCGCTGCCACCGGGTAGCGACGCACTCGACCCCGGCAGGTACGTGCTCGCGCGGTCAGGTTATAGTACTCCATGCAAAGAATCTGGATAGGCCACCCACGTGGTTCTGTTGTGTGCATAACGACCAACACAGTTAATCTCACGCACAATTTCCGGGGGTACTGCATGCACCTTGACAACCTGAACTTATACTCGATGTCTGTAATAAGCTCGGAAGGCTGACTGTTCACACTTTGCTACAGTCTACTCTAATTGATTTCAGAAAATGGGGGACTCCACATGTGAACTTCGCCCAAAGAGGCCGAGTCTCCACGACAACCAGCACCCGCATGTGGCGAGGATCTCAAAAGGTTCCAAGTTCCAATTGGGTTTTATGACCACACTCAGCTTCTCACCAGCCTTACCAGCTTCTGACTACCAGTTACTTACGGCACTGATGCATCACTTGGGAAAAGAAAAACTTGATAGCTGACTACAACTAAAGAATAAGATCGAGAAATTCGTTTCATAGTAGCCATCGGAATTTTGCGATAACAGAAAGTGGTAGCTGCCCAGCAGATAGACACTTGTCCCACGTACATAGGTGATTTTCCTGTTGGTTGAGTTTCTCAATCGTTTTATGACAGGGTACAGCATCGTGATGTGTGAAATGATGGGGTAGGTACGACTCCCCCCCTCGACTTTTCCGTCGAGCAAGGGATGGGGTTTATAGTACACATTAAGCAGGAAAAGCGCGAAAAGTCAGCAACCGAGAGGAATTTTTTCTTAAGACGGCAAATTTCTCTCAAAGGAGCATACGATCCCCCCCCCTTCCAACGACGACCAAATACGACCCCTCTCCCAGCGGAAAGTACGACCTCCCCTATGTGTTTCACTTAACGAGGCTATACCTCTTGAAAGAACTTCCCACCCAAAATTGCCTTCCATATGATGCAAGACTTTTCCCATCCTAACAGACAACTTATCGCGCAGCCTAGCGCGGCAGCTATTAGGTCAAGTAAACAGAGGCGTTATCGCCGCTCGACACCCGCATTGGGTATTTTTGGTATTTTCAAGACTCGAAATAGCAACCCACGTTGGAATGGATAGAGATTGTCACGCCGAATTATGGAATCTGTCGTCCGCAATTAAAACATCAAAGAAAGAAGTAGACTGAGTGAGGAGGTGGTGAGAGAAAGATGATGGGGGATAGCGCAGATCGTTACGCGTCTGGTCGGCGAGATTCCGGTGCATTGTCCACGCTGGTCATGATTTGGACAAACACGGTCGACCGCCATCTCCTTAGCGTCACGATGTCATCATCACCTCTGCTTCTGCTAATTTCTGATTCCATTCACCTCAGCTCAACTTCTAGAAATATTTGGACTATCCACAGGTGACGCTGGTACGGTAGATCGACAACCGTTTCAGGACCTTGCAAGGTTTGAACGAACATTTCTGAGATGATCTCTGTTCTTGCAATAAATCGTTGTTTTTTTTCAGTCAATCCGTCGGACTCATCAACTATCTGCAGACTGTTCAACGCAATCCCAACAATCAATTGGCGAAAAAGTGTGTCAGAGAAAGGAGTGCGTGTAAAGGAGAGTGAGAGTTGAAGGAAATCCTACGTATGCGGGAAGTAATGCAACAAATAGGGCGCAGGAAATTATAAAATTAAAAATTGAGTGCCATAGTGGCAGTCTAGCTGTATTTTCGACCAATAGGAAGGAAAATATCATGAGAAATTTTAAATTCTTCTTCGATAGTTTTGTCAGTTCCTCTCAAACTCTGAACAGGCACATTAACTTCTCATTGTAAAAGTTGTTGAGAAAGTCAAGGCTAACTCTAGAAAACACCCTGTATAACTAGTAATCATTTCTTGTTCTGGTTACGCGAGCCGCTCCCGACGATGAACTTTATGGGTGGTCTTCCGGTGGTCCCAGGCGTCATGGGCAGTCTTCCTGGCGCCGGATCGTGTCTTCCGCGTGGATCGCCTCTCGTCCGAGACAAGTACGACGTTTCTCTAGCTCACGTCATTTCATTCACATTGAAGTGAAATCATATGAATATAAGATATGACAATTACAATTTAACTTTCAGGTCACCGAGTTTCTTCCAGAATATTCTGAGAAATATTCCTGGAGCTCACGATTATCTAGCCAGCTTGCTACCGTCACCCAAAGTGGACAGCCAAGCGCTTTATGGCAAGTACCACTGGGTGCGCTTAGATTACTACGATATTACACTGGACTATACTATTATATTACTATGTATGATATTTCAACTTATCACATCCTCCATTGAATGTGTTTCAAAAAAATAAAATCGGACTAGCGGTCATCGGCTGCTGGGACTCATGCTACGAGCTTTTCACTGTTTCTTTTACCTCACTTACCTCACTGTATTAACATAGCCATTCTAAGTTAGCCTTACAGTCTTTCTCTTACCTCCCGATTTTTTTTCATCCAAACAACTCTTCCAAAAATAGGCCATGAGCATTACTTCCTCATGAGCAAAACAGCTCAATTGGTCCAAATATTCAAAAAGGGGTGTCTCTCGATCTGAGGATTTCCGTCTTCCTCTTCCTATATGTTATACAAATTTCAAGGTACAGTTAACGACTCGATCTAATGGAATATGATTCCAAAGCGATACTTCCAAGTTCAGCCGACTTTTCACATTTTCACAAATGCCCTGCATTTGTTTTTGAGAATATTTTAGGAGCTGTCGAAATTTTAGGAAGCTATCAAAATTACCTTGTAATAACTTCGTGCCAAAATCTGAGAATTCACGCTGCACTCATTTATTTTCTCATCTTTCACCTTCGTAGCGCAAAGTGCACCGGTAGACAGCATTCATCATCATTGAAAAAATCTGGTTCTTCTCAACAGTTTGTTTATCCATTTAAACTTTGTACTCGAGAATATATATACTTTCTTAACTGTTTTTTTTTCCTTTTTGCATTATATCACTTACTTTTCTCTCATTCGTTTAAAGGAGGTGATGTAGTGACAGGTGGCACGCTCAACACAGAGTGCGAACCTGGGGGTCAAATCACCGACCGACTCCTCTCAGGCCAACAACACCTTCTATCCTCAGGGGATCGTAAAGTAGTACCAGATTTGTCTGGGAGAAAAGGAACACTGACTTGCACATCGACTGGCCCCGCAATTCATTGTATTATCCAAATCGCATTCCATAAGTCACTAAGATTCTGAGTGGATGTAAAATGCCTGCCGCATCAGAAAAAGGATCGAGCAATGGCGAAGTGCCCTTTGTCTTTTATTTTTCACACAATATTTCTTCACAACTTCTCGTACAACATTCATTCATTTATCTGACCATTTAGTGAGCAATTAGTAAGAACTAGTAAAGAATAATAATGGACAATGGTAGCGAACAATAATTAGCAGGAGTAACAAAATAGGATGATAGTTGGGATGACAAGATTCTAGCACTTTTGCAGGCACTGGATACTCCTTCAGTACATAATCGTTTCTGCGCAACAACTGAATGTGAGTATTGCTAACATGTTCATCAGTATTTTTTAGCAGCAAGATAGTATCTGGGCTCAGAACACATATGCAAACAGTAATTGTAGTTTGTTTCTCGTTGTGGTTTATTTTAATTCGATTTTTTCCGCTTTTTTTTGTTTTCTACGGGATTTCTCACAAGCACAGTAGCGAAAAAGAAACTTGGAACGAGCCATGTACAGTCGTCATCCGGGCACTTGATTAGGCGGCAAGGGTCGCGACGCGGCTGCAGCGCGTCACGACCGCGGCGATCAGCTGTTTCCGGCCTGGTTTGGCCATTTTCCTCCCTAATTTTCAGTGTGTTCCCTTTTTTTCAAGGTATGTTGTTTTATTGCCCGAAGTGTATTATGATGTGGACTCTTTTTTTGTTTTGGCAATAGAGTGTTTTTGCAACTCTCTTAAGGTATTTGTTCTGTTTAATTGTACGCAAAATCAGAGGAATCTCAATCATAATTTACCTTGTGAAGACAAGGAACAACTAATCTTGAGAAAAGCAGCCAAAACAGTGTAAATTAGGGGAAATGGCTAAAATAGGCTGGAAACAGCTGATCGCCGCAACCGCGTCGCCACCCTCGGCCGCCCAATCAAGTGCCCGGATGACGACAGTATGGCAGTTTTAAAGGTTTTATTGGATTTTCTTCAAATTGTGGACGAAAATTCTGTCCTATTGGATCATATGCTCCAGGCATATCTGTAGGTTTATAATTGCTATTGAAGAGTTCAAGATTAAAAAATTCTTTGAACTAATAAAAAAGCTATTTTGGCACGTTCCACGTTTCTCTTACGTTAGCAGGCGGTGAGTCTGAGCACTCAGAACGTTCCGTTGTGTACGGGTAAGATTTAGTAAAGGAATCAGAAATATTTGATGGCCTTCATTGATTTCAGTTCAACCGACTGCTCACGCTGGAAATTCTTCCTCATTCAGTATACAAGAAAAATTTCGAACGCAAAGCGAGGATGGAGGGGAGAAGGTTTTTTTCCCTTACAAAACTTTATAGAGAATGCAAAGTAGCTCTGTACTGAGCGGTCAGGTCATCTAGTCATCGTCTCTGAAAAGCAGTGCCATAACCTCTTCCACTACTAATTAATAATAACGTTAGACCTATCAAAGTTGTGCAACTCACCACATTTACTGCTAACATTTGCAAGTCAGTCCTAGCAAAGTCATAAGATTGGTAGCTGAGAAGATTGCACCCCCTTACTCATCCCCTGGCAGCCTTTTTTCTTCTCATTTTCATTGCAGTGAGGTAAGATAATGTGAACTGCTACCGGAAATGTGTCGCTCTCATGACAAAGAATTTTCCCATCCCACGAAACTTACCCCCACAATCCCCCCACCAGTGCCCTGTCAGCACTATCTCTTTCAGCACACAGTCATTGGATGGAACGAGGCCTTCTCTCAACTGCGGTAGTTAAGACATAGGCCCCAACATTTGGGGTTCTTGGTCCTGGGCGCTATGTTGCCCTATGTTGCCCAGTTCGGTCGGAATGTTCATGAATCATTCTGGGCAGAACGCGCCATTTTCATCCTGGCATAACATGTGCCTGTGTTCTTTTCTGTCCTAAATATAATATCTTCTCGTAGATTTTTTGCTACACATTAACACTAAAACCTGTCAAGACTCCATTTAGCGCAAAAGTGGGTCTAGCTAGTAGAAAGATTTAACGTTTTTCTTACTTTTGGGTAGCCCTTGTGCGAACTACCATATAAATTCATATCACTGTTATCAGGTTGCTTTTGGGTACGGTATACTACACAATGAAAGAACGTATGTCTACATGCAAGACGATCCATGCCCTTGTGAGTGATTTTTTCATTATTTTCATGGACTTGTTTTGAATGGTCTTGACCAGGTTGTGATGATGTTACGTTTATCAGAAATGACGTGATACCTTCCGCTTGTTTCGGACCAGGACTGGATTCCGTGTGACAAGCTGCAGCCCTCGCATTTGTCGAAAAAAATTCCCGCCCCAAATCAAGATTCAATGCGAACACTGGACGGTCTTAGGAAACAAAAATGAACTCTGAAGGAAACTAGCACGCTCTGGAATGACGATTACTTGTTCGCGTGGCGTTCACGCATGAAAGCTCTTTTTGGTATACAAGTCTGGCATGACACGCCATGTTTGTCAGGCAGCCACACAGAGCGGAAAGGGTATGACACACAATGTGTGTCACGCTGTCCAAAATGTTCAAAAGGCCCTAATCAGCTTATCGTTGGAACAGCGTTCCAAGAATTTTCACGACTAGACGAATTCGACCTCCGGTTTAGGCTTTCCCGCAACTTTGTCAACGTTTCATACAGATCGTCGTCTTGGACCAGAAATTGGATCGAACTCCGGTCAAGTACCCAGTCATACTAGGGTAGCTTGAAGGCATGGCACGATAAATCCCCAAAGACGAGTAGGATTAATATGCCTGGCAGGACGGAATTCCGCGCCCTGAGAAGGCGCTGCGCAGCGCCCTTCCCAAGGAAGGTACCCTTATAAGGGCCCTATCAAGCTACAACATACCGACCCGAACGCCCACCACGCCCGCCCGCCCACAAATGGACGACGCTCGTATTGATTCATTTGCTAAGCAAATTATGAAGCGAAGGGATTGGTATGAAGCGGCCGTGGTGCTGCATGGATATACAGGGGGGGGGGGGGCAAAAAAAAGTCATTCCGGCCGAGTCACATATGAGCGAAGTTTTCGCAGCCCAGACAGAGGAAGTGGATATGAGTACCAGGGCGGAAGATACCCAAGATCTTCCTCTATAAGCAGGAGCCGGCTGCCGCCATTCACCTTCATGTACACCAAAATATGAAGTCATCTCCG